GATTTTTATTTATACTTCCATATCATCTTTTTCACGTTTATTGCTCGGATCTCATATTCAGATTTCTTTTTGATTATACATCTTTTTTGTTTGGTTTATTTTATGATATCAAAATGAATTATTTTAACACGCTTGAGGTGCTGTAAAAGTTGTTGGCTAAGAAAAAAAATAGAGGCCTTTGATAAAGCTAAACTTTCACTTTTAATTAAAAAGTAATAGAAGTATATTACTTTCTTAAATTAATCGAATTATTCTTTGATAAATCTCTTCTATTTTTTTTTTCTTTTTTTTTTTTTTATAAATATCCTCCTCTCTTTATTCTACTCTAGCCATCCTTCCTAATCTAAACCTGGCATCGAATAATCTGACGTTCTTCCTCAATACAGGTACAGTACAAGCACTAAAATTATTGGTTGTATTTTTTGTATTGTTATTTTAAAATCTTACACATCTCGCGTTTGTTCCTCAGAAAATCGAATTCGGTTTATGTTAAAATTTATTTATACAATTGATCGAAATTTGTTAATTATATACCACTAGTGTTAGTAGTTATGACCTTAACTATTGACCTATCTAATCGATATTATAAAAATTGGTTTGGTCGAACTAGAACACCTTAGTTGGAATCCACTTATAATATTGATATTGATATATTTTAAATGTAACATGTAATAATCAATTCTACGTATTAAGAGTCGACTAAGTGAGTTCTCAAGCACCTATCTCAATGACTCAACAAAAACCTGATTGGTCGCCTGCCCAAACCGACCGATCAGATTCTTTATTGAACTCATTGAGTGAGAATGCCCTAAGTCGATTTTTTAAAAAATCGAACGACTTAGCCACCCTCGAAAGTTAGTATAGTTTTTAGAAACGAATAAGATCAAGCTATTACCAAGCTAACTTTTTCAAACGGATGAAAGTTAAAGATCTTTTGTTATTTAGAGTCTTATAACTCTAATAAACTTATTTTTCTTTATTCTCCGTAGTTTTTTTTTGTTTTAAAAAAGTACTTTATAATATAAAATTAAATATAAATTACGAGCCACAGTGTCGTAAGCATTAACTGGTTGGTTGGTTGCACGTACAAGTTGGAACTTAATTTACAAGCGAAAGCGAAAGGGTTTTACAATATTTATTCAAAGATATTACTCAAAGGGTATTAGCCAAAAAGAGAACTATGCAATTCAAAAGAAGAGAGCTCTACTTTATAGCGACAAGTAATCCCAACACTTATATAACTATATAGCAATTACTACTACTGATAAATGTATTACGCAAGAAAAATGTAATGATAAAAATCTACTACGAAAATATCGTAACACCAATCAGACAAACTTCTCCCTATGAACTTGGCGACTAAACCGACTAACCCAGGTATTCAGTAAACTTACAATACAGATTCGGACGGACATACGAAAATTATACAAAATTTTGATCATACATACGGTTAATATAGACGTAGGGTAAACGCTAGTATTGTCTTGTTTCATGTTAGGAAAGTAACTTGGGTTTGACGAATTTTTTTACAAACAGTATGTGCTATCGTGATTTCTACGCGCCTGCCCTAATTTACGTTTCCGTACCGTACTACTTTACTATATACCCTTAACCCCTAGTCACGTACGTACGTGCATACAAGTCGATTATTAATCAATTTTAGTGATTCAATCTCAACATGACAAAATAGCCACATTACTGTTAATACCCGTGTGGCACTTTTATTTTTTAATGTTTGTACTGTATTACAAAACCATCGCTACATATTCGAAAAATAAAATTACATTTTGAAACGTTTGTTTAAACTCACAAGTTCTTTTAGTATTTGCACAATCTTTTCCTCGATTTTTTGATTTTCCAAACTTCCATCCTCTTTAAATGCATTATAAGCCCCAGTTAACATTACATACGGTCTATCATTAAAGGAAAACCAATTATTTACTTGAAAAAAAAGTCTTTCATTAATTATTATTATTTTAAGCAAACTTACGTGTTAACAGTTGTCACGTTCAAAAGAGTTAAAGATTGTCTTAGTACAAATTGAGCATGACCGGATCCCGAAGCACCTGGTCCACTTCCAGGACCCGCTCCTATTATCGCAGCAGTTTTTCCGAAGAAAACATCACCACGATCACCAATCATTACTCGACTTGCCCAATCGATTGCGTTTTTTAAAGGACCTTAACATTACGCAAATAATAGCATAAGGAATGAATAATGTGAAAGCAAACGTATAGAATATATAATAAAAATT